TTTTTTTTTAATTAGTAAGGGTAAAAATGTATTTTTTGGGTGCGATATAATCGATTTTGGGTGCGGTAAATAACAACACCCTTTCAAATAATTAAATTTCAACTTAGGTCCACGAGGCTATTATTGTCAATTTGAATTCTAAATTCTCATAATCCCCAAAATCTAGCAATTTCACTAGCAAAGTAGCTTTACTTCATCTTCCCCAACTCACTCCTCTCCCCAATGGCTCATTCTGCATCTTGCTCGTCAAAACCACAATTTCGCTGCAAATCTTAGCTGCCGCGAAAACCATAAGATGATTCAAGACGCCATAAAGCTTTTCTGCCATGGAGATTCGTAACAAGCTCGCTATTTCCTTCTCTGTGCTTCTCATAGCCGCAGCTCTCACAGGTAGCACTCATTCTAACGCCTGTTAACTGTTATATGAAATGCCTCACTCATAAAACACGCGCACAAGTAGTAATTTCTAGTAATGTGGCGCAGAAGTAGAAGCGCAGCAGGGAAAAGATGGGCCGTTTGTGGGGGTTAACATCGGCACCGACGTGTCGAATCTGCCCTCGCCGGCGGACCTGGTCGCCTTCCTCCAGCTGCAGAAGATAGACCACGTCAGGCTCTACGATGCCGACGCTCAGATTCTTAAAGCCCTCGCCGGAACCAAAATCCGTGTCACCGTCAGCGTGCCCAACAACCAGCTCCTCGCCATCGGCTCCTCCAATGCCACCGCCGCCGCCTGGATTGGCCGCAATGTGGAGGCGTACTACCCCAACACCCTCATCACCGCCGTGGCTGTCGGCGACGAGGTCCTGACCACCGTCCCCTCCTCCGCCCCTCTGCTTATGCCGGCCATCGAGTCCCTCCACGCCGCCCTCGTGGCTGCGAATCTGCACGGCCAGATCAAAGTCTCCACCCCCAACTCCGCCTCCATCATTCTCGACCCCTTCCCACCCTCCCAGGCCTTCTTCAACCAAACCCTAACCCCCATCATAACTCGATTGCTCCAGTTCCTGTCCAGAACACAGTCGCCATTGATGATGAACCTATACCCTTACTACGTCTTCATGCAGAACAAAGGGGTTGTTCCTCTGGACAATTCCCTCTTCAAGCCCCTGACCCCTTCCAAAGAAATGGTTGACCCGAATACCCTGCTCCACTACACGAATGTTATGGATGCCATGATTGATTCAGTTTATTTCTCCATGAAAAATCTCAACTTTACCGATGTTGTGGTTCTTGTGTCTGAAACTGGTTGGCCTTCGAGGGGCGACTTGAAGGAGCCTTACGCGACAATCAATAATGCCGACACCTACAATTCGAATCTGATCAAGCACGTGCTCGACAGGAGTGGGACCCCCCTGCATCCAGAGGTCACGTCTAGCGTGTACATATACGAGCTTTTTAACGAGGACCTGAGGTACCCGCCAGTGTCCGAAGCCAATTGGGGCCTGTTTTACGCAAACTCAACACCCGTTTATTTGCTTCACGTCTCGGGAAGTGGTGGTTTTCTGGCGAACGACACCACTAATCGGACGTATTGTGTGGCAGCGGATGGGGTGGATGGGCGGACAGTGCAGGCCGCTCTGGATTGGGCTTGTGGGCCTGGGAGGGCGAATTGTTCGGAGATTCAGCCCGGGGAAAGTTGTTACCAGCCAAACAATGTTGGGAATCACGCATCATACGCGTTCGATAGTTATTATCAGAAGGAAGGGAAAAATCCTGGGTCATGCGATTTCAAGGGTGCGGCTATGATCACGACTACCGATCCTAGTGAGTGACTTCTTTTAGTTTTCTTTACTTGTCATGTATATGCAGTTTTGTTGGAAGAAACTTTGATGGTTTTTGCATGATCTTGTTATTAACCATGTAATTTGTGCTAAGTATGGTTTGTTGGATGTTAATTTGTGATGTGTGAATAATAATGTGGCTAGAATGAATCAACAAATTGTTATGCAGGACTTCTAGTGGCGGAGAGAATGTTTTATCCTTCTTTCTCTTTTTATCCTTTCATTGCGGTACAATCTTTAGGTGCAAATTGACCGTTGCTTGTGCTTTTTGGTTAACTTGAGGACATGATTGAGAGCATGAAAGTTTCTTGAATCTTGTCTCACATATGACAACTAGTCAGTGTGTTTTCAGGACACACTCACGCAGGAGCCCACTTGAGCTGTTGGGCTATCATATGGAATAACATGATATTGTTAGGGTGAAAAGTTAGGCATGTGTTCTTGCTACTTCTATGGTTGTAACTTCTCGTGGGTGAATTATTTTCTTCAGTGACTGGGACAAAATAACCTTGCTTTGTCCACTAGAGATGCATATATTTTCTTTTATTTTATTTTGACACATCATCTGATGAATTTTTTTTTTTTTTTTTTTTTTTTTTTTT